TCCCAGAAGGAGGTGGGGCCAGAGCCAAAGAAACAGTGAAGAGGTGGGGCTTCCCAGGAGGAGGCAGGGCCCAGAGCCAATCAGCATCAAGAAGAGGGAGGGGCTTCTTAATAGTAGTGTGGTCCAGAGCCAATCAGCAGTGAGGAGGGCGAGGGGTGTGGCCCGGAGTAGCTTTGCCCAAATCTATTTACCATCAAGCCTAATTTCATCCACTCTCCACACTTACCTCCAAACGTAAAAAACGTTTAACAGCAATTCATATCCACAGAAAGATTTTTTAACAACGCTTGAAGATTTCATTGAAATTTTATTTTTTTAATTTATTTTTTTAAATTAAAAACAATGGAAAGGTATACGAAGACATCCAGCGGGGATTTCACAACGAGCTGTATGTCTTCTGCACTCCAGGACAGATCTTAAACGGTGGAGGAAGAAGCAAACACAAGTCCTCCAAAACGCTAACAAGCTGATCTGAGAAGGGGAGAAACAAAGGTCTTGGAAGGTAGAATGCATATGCTAGCTGCAAACTCGATGCAGAATGTTCAAAGGCGCGCCCTGGCTTGCTTGTTCACTGCTTTGGTATCCACAGAGCCAGCTCTGTTCCAGCTGCCACAGTGGTAGCAGCAAAGAAAGGGACCAAAATCCCTCCTGGGAGACCATGGACAAGAAATAGGCAAATACACACTTTGCTGGCTGTTGATAAGGACTACAAAGAGAAGTCAAAGCTGGGTGAGAGAGCTATGAAAGGGGCAGCAGGCATGGAAGACCGGAAGATAGGGCAGAACCTTGAATCAAGTGGGTGGGGAAGGCATGGCCATTATCTGAGAGAAGACTGTTGGTTTGAGGTGAAAGGGAACAGCCAGTTCAAGGGCCCTGAGGCAGTAGCAGAGTCTGGCTGTGTGGCAGAAGCAGAGGAGAGAGGAGAGAGGGGCAGGTGTGAGAACAGAGAGGGGGAGGAGTGGGCACAGATCACAGAGGCTGGGGTGAGCTTTGCACCTGTAGCGCACCTCTGTAATCCTAGCTAACTCAGGAGGCTGAGATCTAGAGGATCACAGCTGGAAGTCAGCCTTGGGCAGAAAGTCAATGTGATTCTAGTTCCAAAAACAACAGCAAAAAGCAGGGCTGGAGGCATGGCTCAAGCGGTAGAGTGCCAGCTGAGCAAGCAAGCCAAAGGAACACAATACACTGAGTTCAAACTACCAGAGAGAAAAAGAGAAAGAGAGAGGGGGAGGTAATGTGACTTGAGTTGGTTTTCAAAGGGTCACATCAGCAACTGAGTGGAAAAGAGTCTGGAGCAGGGGTGAGGAACTCAAAAGGCAGAAACAGCCAAGTTAAGAGGCTGCTGAAATAATCCAGGAGACCATGGCTGAGGGTAGAGAGAGAAGTTCCACGTTGCAGATAAAACTAGCCACACTTTGCTGATGAGATGAATGTGTGTGTGTATGAGAGAGAGAGAGAGAGAGAGAGAGAGAGAGATCAGAAACAACTACAAATGGCAAAATATGAGCAAAACAATGAACTGAAAAGCGATAAAGAGTAATCAGTACAAACAGCAGCATTCTCACAGAAAATACTAGAAGTTTGGATACAATTAACACTTGTCAGAAATCTTCATCTTCTTCATCTAAAAGTATCCATCTTCTTCCCCTGGTATCTTCTCCATCTGAAAATGTCATCATGCTGTTCATGATGGCTGACAAATATATGCAAGTATATTATATATAAATTCACACACACATATATGTATATGAAAAGTGTGTGTGTGTCTGTATGTGCGTCTGTGTGTCTGTCTGTGCTGGGGCTGAACTCAGAGCCTCATGCTCTTGATTAGTTTTTTTCGTTGTTTTTGTCAGTCATGGGGCTTGAACTCTGGGCCTGGGTGCTGTCCCTGAGCTCTTCAGCTCAAGGCTAGCGCTCTACCACTCAAGCCACAGGACCACTTCCTATTTTCTGGTGGTTCATTGGAAATAAAAGTTTCATGGACTTTCCTGCCCAGGCTGACTTCAAACTGTGATCCTCAGATCTCAGCCTTCTGAGTAGCTAGGATGACAGGCGTGAGCCACCGGTGCCTAGCTTTATAATTTCCTTCGGAGTATTCCCTGACTGGATCCTTTGTGATAAGAATATTACATTGAAATATTATTTCCTTATCATGTTATGGTGCTAAGCAGAGGGTTATAACATTTCTAAGAGCTCCAGGAATCCCTCAATCATCCCTCAATATAATCTGATCTGGAATAGAAGAATCCCACTGACACGTTATGAATTTGCTACTTACATCATTTTCATGTTAAACACGGCCTGGCTACTACCTCTGGTGCAAGATAGAAAGAGAGAAACTTAACAAAGGTGAGCTTAAGCTATCATGAAAATTTAATGTTCCACATGTCTTGAAAAGATATCAAAATTTCCATTCCGTTAAGAAGCGCCACTAGGCCAGGTTCTGGTAGCTCATGCCTGTCATCCTGGCAACTCAGGGGGCTGAGATCTGAGGATCGTGGTTCAAAGCCAGCCCGGGCAGCAAAGTCCATGAGACTCTCATCTCCAATTAATTACCAAAAGGCTGGCAATGGAGGTGTGCAATGTAGAGCATTAGTCTTGAGCAGAAAAACTCAGGGACAGGGGCTGGGAAGGTGGCTCAGTGGTAGAGTGCTTGCCTTGCATGCATGAGGCCCTGGGTTCGATTCCTCAGCACCACATAAGCAAAAAAAGAAAAAAAACGGAAGTGGTGCTGTGGCTCAAGTGGTAGAGCACTAGCCTTGAGCTGAAGAGCTGAGGGACAGCGCCCAGGCCCAGAGTTAAGGCCCACGACCGGCCCCAAAAAAAAAAAAAACTCAGGGACAGTGTGCCCGCCCTGAGTTCAAGCCCCAAAACTAGGGGAAGAAAACAAAATTAAAACAGCCTCCAAAGTGATCGAGGTCCTCAACGAAATGGGTGTGACACAAAGACACCCATCTAAAGGTGAGCCCCAAGCCCGCCACTGGTGACTCACGCCTGTCATCCTAGCTACTCAGGAAGTTGAGACCTGAGGATCTCAGTTCAAAGCCAGCCCAGGTAAGGAAAGTCTTTGAGACTCAACTCCAACGAACGTCCAGAAAACTAACGTGGCCCAAAGGGTAGAGCACCAAGCCTTGAGCAGAAGAGCTTAGGGACAGCACCTAAGCCCAGAGTTCAAGACCCACCACTGACCACAAAATTAAAATTAAAGATTAATTAACTAATTAAGAGTCTTCCATTTGCTTCCATCAGGACTTCACAGGATGGGAAGAAAGCCAGTAAGAGTCCCACCTCCGCCCTCAGTTTACCCATCGACACAGTTGGGTCGATGGGAACCCAGCTCTGTATTCCCCGAGGTGGTTTCCCCCCCCAACTCTTAGTCTCCCTGAGCACTTACATGAGTGTACCACGCATATAAAGGGGTGCCTTCAAACAGTCTCTCCATGTCCAGCGGGAAGAAGAAAACGTTGTCGATGGCCAAGAGCAGGGACAAGGCCGGGGAGCTGGAGTTGGGGAGCAGCTGGGTGGCATTACTCAGCCCCTTCATGAAGAAAGCCACTGGCTGCTCGGGGTAAACCTTGGCTGCAGACTCCACGGCACAGGAGACCAGGGGCGTGGGCTCCATTCTCTCGGAGGTCTCTACGAATACTATACTGCGGCCTTGACGCAAGAGGTCCTCGGACCCCTGGGGGGACTTGAAAGGAGGCAGACAGGAGAAGAGGCAGCGGGACTTCAGGCTGAGCCGGTAGAGAAAGCCACAGGCAAGTAGCAAGACCAGTGACAGGGACACCTGGAGCTCCTTCAGCATGTCCGCCAGCCTCCTGCTTCAGTGGAGACACGTCATGAGCAATCGCCCTGACGGGACACCATACCCAATAAAAGTGGTAGAAGAGCCAGTAGCGCATGCCTAGAATCCCGGGCTACTTAGGAGGTGAGATGTGAGGAGCTCTAGTTTAAAGCCAGCCCGAGCAAGAAATTCTTATCGTCAATGAGCCACCAAAAAGTTAGAAGTGGGGGGTGTGGCTCAAGTGATAGAGCGCTAGCCTTGAGTGAAAAAGTGAAGGAGGCTGGGAAGCCGGCTTCGTGGTAGAGCGCTTGCCTACCATGCATGAAGCCCTGGGTTCGAGTCCTCAGTTGCACAGACACAACAAAAGCCAGAAGTGGCGCTGTGGCTCAAGTGCTAGCTTTGAGCAAAAGAAGCTCAGGGACGGTGCCCAGGCCCTGAGTTCAAGTCCCAGGCTTGCAAAAAAAAAAAAAAAGAATGATCCAACTTAGGAAAGTAATCAGATAACAGGGGAAAAAAAGTAATGAATGCATTAGCATAAGAGAATAAAGGAAAAAAGCCATTGGACCATTTTGATGTCAAGAATGGAATCAACTTGGGCATCTGTTTTTAAAAAGTATAAAGAAGCTTTGTTAAGCTGATCAATTATGCCTATTATCAGATCATACATCAACCACCACCACACTTCATGGGAAACATTTGAATCATCCCATTAAGATCAGAACTATGATCCCATTCAATATCGTTTGGCTAAATTCTCATCATGCAATCAGACCCAAGAAGAAGAAAATACCTACTTGTGAATATTCAAAGAAGCAGAACAATCACAAGTTCCAGAAGACAGGTTTGCAGAATATCCGAGAAAATCCAGGAAGCATTTCCTGGGGGAAAAAAATTAATTAAGAAGACTATTGAGTGAAGATTCAAATGGCTGAGTTAGAAAGTCCAAAACACACAGTTTGCAAGTAGCAGTCATGAAAGTCCAACTTGAATCCACCCAAAACCTAGGCTTTGAACACCACTCTAGCACCTACCTGTCTCTCCATAAATGGTGGCTCAAACTCCAGCCCACTCTAGAAAACACAAACCCAGCAAACTAGAGCGTACCTTCTTGCCAGAGACTTGGTGTGAGCCAGGTTTGGAGGTCTTAGAAAACCAGGACCAACTTTTCCTGGTATACCTTCTGATAAATCACCACCCAGTCTTCCAATTGAACAACTCACAGGTAAGTAAACAATTGGCAAAAGATTAAGAAGTCCCAGTAAGCTCCTCCCTTGACTAAGTCTCTCCCCACCTACCCCCCCCCAAACAGACACCAGGTGACAATTAGGGTTCACAGGATTTCTCCCATGACTCACATACTGATTGGGGCTGTATGGAGCTGGAGGGGGGGGGGAACCGTTTCATCTGGAGGAAACCGTTCTAGCATAAATCAATCCATAGTTCATGGCTTCTGCACCTGCTCTGTCTAGCTTGAATCTAATTCATGGAGAGAGACACAGGCCTAGGCATTGGGTCTAACTGCTCCTTTGAAAGCATGAGGCTCGATGGGAAAACAAAACAAAACACAAACTCATCAATTACAACTTTTATTTGGGGGGGGAGGGTCGCAGGTCCTGGGGCTTGAACTCAGGGCCTGAGCACTGTCCCCTGAGTCTCTCTGTGCTCAAGGTGAGCGCTCTACCACTTCAGCCACAGCACCACTTCCAATTTTCTGGTGGTTCATTGGAGATAAGAGTCTCATGGACTTTCCTGCCTGGGCTGGTTTCGAACCATGATCCTCAGATCTCAGCCTCCTGAGTAGCTAGGATGACAAGGCGTGAGCCACCAGCTCCTGTGAATTCTTGTGTGACTTGAGCCCCTTCCCGTTCTCACAAACCCAGTTTGACCGTCAAATGTGGCAGCTTACACACCTCCCAAGATAGCCTCACTCTGGGGACTTCCCCCATTCACCCCTGTAATAAGCCCTGAGTTATCCTCTTTGGAGCTACCCACCACTCCAAATAAGTATCTGTCCTCAGAGCCCGGTTACTACTCAGGAGGCTGAGATCTGAGGATCATAGCTGAAAGCCTGCCCAGGCAGGAAAGTCTGTGAGACGCTTATCTCCAA